CCCCCCCCCCCTCCCTCATACAGGACTCTCCAGAGGGTTGTCAGTTAGGACACGCAAGGGGAATGAGCAACGAGCCTTAAGGTGATGATACATGGGGCAACTTTTTGAACAATATTGCTTGGGCACTTTCCCGTTAAGAATGGGCAACAATTTTCTATCTGGATAGTTTAGATCGGTTGTGGGCCCCGTGTCTCACCCATCAACATTGCTCAAAAAGTTGTCCCATGTATCATCACCTTTAGAGCTTTTTAGGTGGATGCCGAGTTTTTATTTTTTTTATTTATTTTTAGGTCGGGTAGAATCTGCGACCTCTGACCCCAGTTTGTTTGCTCGCTTGCATGGCTGCCATACGCTGTTTTCCGCTCTCTGGCAACCCGGGTGTCGAAAATTGTAGAGTTCAGATGCAAAAGTCTCTAAGTGCCGTTTGAAATTATCTTCTAAAATGAGCATTTTTATCAGGCTCCTATGTGTAGGTTCAGTAATTTCACTTTAATGGCAATGAATAGTTTCTTTTCTTTCCCATTAAAGTAAAATAACTGAACATAAACATAGGAGCCTGACAAAATAACCAATTTAGAAGAAAATTTTAGACGGCACTTAGAGGCTTTTGCATCTGAACTCTTCAAATAATATTGGGTAAACTGGCAGTGGGCGGAATCACACAGATCAAAACAAAAACAGCCATTCCGACTAGGAATACACATTTTCAAAGTAGAATAACTGGCCTTGTTTTTCGGAGAAACATGTGAACTTAGCATGTTTCCTTAATATCTGCAATGTGTTATGGTGTTTTTATGCTTTGGCACAGTCAAAAAATTACACACAGCACCTTTAAACCTCACAGGCAGAAATGTGGCCCGCTTTTGTAATACAAGCACAGGCAAATTGTGACGCCGATGCCGGTTAACATTGTATAATAACAGAATTTCACTTTTAATTCGCATATTAAAGCTGCTCAATATAGATTTAACAACAGTAGGAAGAAATCAAAACAAAATATAGAGCTACATCCATGAATCTCTAAATCTCACTCTTATTCCTCTCTTATTGTATATTTCCCGTTCATTCTTATGATTACGAAACAGAGCTGAAAACTAAACCAGACCAGAGGTTCGTGCATTTTATTTTGACTTATGATTAAATATCGCAGCTCCACAGTCGAGTTCCTAAAGCGCTGATGAAGAAATCAGTCAACTTTGTTCGGACTGGCGACTGTGTGCGCCTAGCTGGCCGTGCTTTTATTTTTAATCTGAGGGAGGGGGTTCCCAGAAAATACCTCCTCCTGCTGTTCCTCAGCTCTATCTCGCGAATATCAAACACTCGTCGTCTCCATATTGGAAGCAGACATCAGAAAACACGGAGAAGCCGTTTTTGACGATCGCTTAAACGCACAGATGTCGGCGTCCTCCTCTATAGCTCCAGGAGTTTAACCGCAAGCGTTCAGACATCGCGCGGGTCATTTATTCAGCCTAAATTTGGAGGTTTCGTGGTCAGCTCGCTAACGCTATCTTATATTAGCAATCCAGCCTCCAACTACTTGTTAGCCATTCGGCGCTGTCGCAATTGATTTTTGTTATGCGCATTTGTACGGGCTGATTGATCAAATGTGTGTCCGCGACGCGTATTTTAATGCAACAAAACGCAAAGATTAGTGGTCGGGTGCAGTCCGTTCGCCCACGCTAGCCTTGAGCGACAGCAGTCTGCTGCTGGCTGGAGATCTGCCATTAACTCAACTAACGTTAGCTGTTAGCACAACCTGAAACACGGACACGGCCAGAACTCGCTGGAAAAAGGAGCTAACATCTCGTTTCCATGGACAACACGTCCATAATAACGCAGGTTACGAACCCCAAGGAGGAGGAGATACTCTCGTCAAATGCTGAGAAAGGTGAGAGGTGTTTTTGTGTGTTGAAGTTGCTCACCGTAGCGCGTTTTGTTAGCTTTAACGTTACCCACCATTTTAAACGAGCGGGCTGCGAGCCCCAGTCAAGAAACATTTTAGGCATTGCATTACCGTTGTACTACCAGAAGCGAGAATAGTGCATTTTTTTGGTAACTTTTAATGTGCTTTTTATATGACTGTGTTATTGTTGATGCAGAACAATGCGTTTATATAACGGAGTCGCCGTAAAGGCGCAATGTAACGTTAAAGTGCTGACTGAAAGTTTGGGCTCTGTCTCAGTCAGCGTCGGTCGCCCGTGATGTGGAGGGAGAGCAACACAAACATGTTTCTTTCTGTCACCACTGGCAGAAGTGCTCAGGAAGAATTGCACAAGTAGAGTGTTTTAAAGGGCACATGTTGTATTTAGAGTGTTTTTAAGAAGCGGTTCATTTGTTCTTCTTTCAGCCAAGTCAGCAACAGGAATAATTAAGTAGAAATGCTATGTCAGTTGTGTGATGCTTTAGGTTGTCAGGGGGTAAACGAACATTTTCATATATTTTACAGCAAGACACCACAGGTGAATCGGGCACACGTTTTCTGAAATGTCATTTAAATGTTTAAGTGTGCAAATGAGGCAATGTAATTATGTTGGCACTAATTTGCGTAAAAATCCAGAAAATAAATCTGAACACTGGATAAAGCCAGGTTCAAAATTCTTGTTTCATTTTGTTGACATGTCAGAGTTAAAGAATTTTACAGAATGGAGTTTGCATATCTTTTTTTTTTATCACTCCATAAATCTGAAAATGCTGTCAACAACAGAATGATAAAAAATACATTTTCACCATGTTTCTAGGCATTAAGTGTTATATAAATTAGGCAAATGATACAGGAACAAACCTCTGTAAAAATATTGATGATAGGAATACAACTGGAAAATTTGGTGAAACTAAAGATTTCTGGCTTAGTGCAAGAGAAACAAATTTTGAGAAAGTGACCTTTAAAGATATGCAATTGAAATGTACTGACCCCCCCCCCCTTTTTTAAATAAACACTCCTTTCCATTAGTCCTTTCAAAAAAAAAAAAAACTATACAAGCAAAATATCCCCAAAAAATTGGCTAGTGCATGAAAAAAAGAGGTGTGCCTATAGTATCTCGCCTTAAATAAAATATAAACATTTTATATGAAGATTGAAAAAAAAGAAAAGAAAAATGAGTTCATATGTCTCTGCTGCAGAGATATGCAGCTGTGAAGGCAGTTTAGCAGGGCTGCCCATCAGAGGATGTCCGGCTCTGACAGCAGACATTTGGATGGAGCGCTTCCAGGGCTTTACCTTTGACCTCTGGGAGGCTGAGTGGAGAAGCTCTTTAACAGCTGCCCTCTCAAAACAGCACAGAATAAAGTTGAACCGTCTAAAATGGTCCTTGTGCTCTTGATAGCCTATTAGGCAACACTTTAAATGCCTTTTGTGACTCACATATACTGCCTTGATCTCATCCAGACCAGGCCTCCCTCTTCAAAGCCATTAATGAGTCTTTCCAACATGTAGGTTAATATTAAGCCAGAAGTAATTAAAGCCAGTAGTTTTAGGGTTGTTTTATGGCAGCTGCATCTTCTCATGCCTTCAGCTCTGATGGCATCTGAAAAAGTCCGCCGCAGTGATCAATGTCTCTGGCCCGTTGCCTGACAGGGCTCTTTTTTGCATTCTGTCCACAATTATGTAAAACCCCCCGTACTTCACTGCATTTTATTCCTTTATTTATTTGGAGTGCATATGGAAATAGTTTATATAACAATTAGTTGCTCATTGAGTGCTTTTGTAGTCTATACTTTTACTCTTTATTTGTGGTAAAGGCATTGAAATAAAAACTAGATTACAGACAGATGTGTGTTTATGCTTTTTGTGTGTAGGTCTCTGTTGTGGAATTGCAAAGACGCCCTTGTTGCGACAGGCAAATCAGTAGACCTTGATATCAAGATATGTTTTTACATCTCAAAGCATGATGCTGAACAGGTCAACTCCTACAGTATTCCTGAGTGAAGCCATGCTGCTGTTCTGCCACTTATGAAAAATTATCCACTCTTTTGAAAACAAAATAACACCTCATAATGCATATTTAGAAGCAGAATCTTTCCAGTTGTCTTTTAATTTGATGCATTTGATAAGGCATTCGATTTCATACTTAATGTGGGTGTAAAGTATTGTAGAGTTTTAGAGAAGAAAAGCATGATGTTCGGCTGAAGCTTTGAGATGGCTAAAGGGGCGGGAGAGGAATGCATGGTTCTCATAGGCTGTTCATTTTCTTAGCTCTGCCTCTCCTCCTGCTGCTGCCCCTCCTCTCCTCTTCCCTTTCTCCCTTAAATTTTCCGCCTCTCTCACTCAGCTATGCTTCTGAAGTCATCATTGAAGCTTCAGGAACGAGGGAAAATAGCCTCTGTCCCTTAAAATGGTTCTGGAGTTGGCAGCCAATAGTGGAGGGACGAGGGTTTAGGAGCCTGATGGGGTGGGGTTTGTAAGCGAGTGGGGTCTAGTTTCATTATTTTTCCTGCTTGTCACTATTTTTAAAGGGCCTTTACTTGCTGGTGACCTCAGTGTTAACATTTAGAGCCTCCGCTGTGGCGCTGGAATGAAGGCAGATTATTATTAATGTGTGTGTGTGTGTGTGTGTGAGAATGAGAGGAGAACCATGAGGGTCTTTGATGTCGCCTCATTATGTGCAGTGTATTGGTGTAAAGCCAGCCCATAATCAGTAGTAATAATCTGAATGTTTAATTGAAGATCCCATGTGACATCCTGCACTGGGAGAATGGGTGTTCGGACGTTCCCACCACCAAGCGTCCTATTAAGTGTTATTGAACTTTGTGTCATATATAATCTTTGCTGACTGAAGTGAATGTAACCCAAATCAAACATATTAAAACTGATAATTGATAACCGATATCATGGTCTATATCAATATATCTGTTCAAAAGTTTGGAGTTAGTAGGATTTTTATATACATTTTTTTTTGAAAGAATTAACAGTTTTATTGAGCATGAATGCAATTAAATTGATCAAAAGTGACCGTAAAGACATTAAAAAAAAAAAATAAATGCTGTTTTTTTTTCTTTATCAAAGAATCCTGGGGAAAAAAATTCACATTAAGCAGCACAACATTTTCAACATTGATAATAAGGATTTTTTCTTGAGCATATTAGAATGATTTCTGAAGGATCACTGGTGGTGCTGAAGACTGCTGAAAATTCATAAAATACATTTAAAGAATATGTTCAAAACGAAAACATTATTTTAAATTGCAATAATATTTCACAATATAACAAATGTTTAAAGAGTTCATTTAGCAGTGTTTTTCAAAATAAAATAAAACATCTCTATGATTGTCCAGTAACTAGTGTGGTATTATTGTAAATATTTGAAGTTTAATCATTATTCAAATCATTAATGTACAGCAAAAAGTTAACTGATGTAAATGACATGAATTTATTATAAATGACGACCTGAAATAAAAAACAAGCTGCTAACGCACCAGTGTTGCCACTAATAAAATGCATCCCTAGTGAATTATTATTGCAGTCATGTGTTTAAACTGTGTTCAATGTGTTCTCTGTCCGCTTTTTTGTCAGTTTCACTGTCTAACAGCAGTCTGAAGAAGAAGAGGACTCGCAGCATCTTCAGCTCATTGTTCTGCTGCCTGAGAAGTTACGATGCAGAGCCCCCCAACACCCCCAACAACAACAGCAGCCCTCTGCCCCCGCCTGTGGAGGAGAACGGAGCTCCACCAAAGGTGAGATGCCCAAACACCCTCTTCATACGGGGAGTGATTACAGTCAATCAGATGCGTATTGATTCAGAGACTCTATTCAAGGCCTCTGCTTCTTCTGCGTCTCAGCATCATGTGTGCTTTGCTGATGTTAAACAGAAGTCATCACAACTCTCTCTCTCTTTTTCTGTGTAGACTGTATCACATTTGTCTGAGTTGTTATCCATTTGTCTTGTGGTTCAGCACCTCATTTCCTCTCCTGTTTGTTTCCTCTGTCTTCATCTCTCATCATGTCCCAGTGTGACCAGGTTGAGGTCATCCCTATCCCCAGTGTATGTATGATTCCACTCCACTCCACTCCGTGCCGTCTGTCTGTGTGCTCTCGCATGCCGCATGGAGCGCAGCACCACAGTACACTCGAATCGGCTTTTGAAGTGGCTCTGTGGACAGTAATGCACTTTGCCTGATGGATGCTTGCATGCACCGTTTTTCCACACAGTTTTGGGATAAGGCATTTAGCATGATAAGGCATGTGTTGGCTATGCCCACCCTCCTCCTTTTTAACTATTGGGAGTATGACTATTTCTGATTTGATAATGCAAGTGCTTTCCCACTGTATTCTAATCCATTTAAAGGTGCAGAGCAAAATTTTCAGCATTAGCACCAAAGTGTTTACAGGGCCCAACAGTACATTTTTATATTTAAGCTTAACCTGTCAATATTTTCACTGGCCCATTTTTAGCAATACATTTTTATATTTTTATGAAATATTATAACTATAAATTCAGAATAAAACTTTGAAACAAGCTGAACATTTTACAGCTCTAATGTAGCGAAATAAATTAAAAAAACACATTTTTGTTGGAAAACTTTGCCATACGATGCAAAACATTACTGGTTGGTTCATTGTTTAACATAATGTTACTGATGTTTTGAAGACTTTAAGTATTTTTTGGAGAATTTAACAAAGCTGCCTCATAATTTTCAACAAAAGTTCAAAATTTTGGAGGTCAGTAAGTTAAAAAAACGAAGAAAAAAAGACATTAATACCTTTATCCTGTAAAGATGCATTAAATTGGTCAAAAATGACATACAGTGTGAAATTATACAAAATATTTCAATTCTAAATAAATGCTGTTCTTTTGAACTTTCTATTCATTAAAGAATCCTGACAAATTCAGCAGAATAAATTACATTTGAAAGTATATTCATAATATTACTGTTTTAACTGTATTTTTGATTAAATAAGCAACCAGCCTTGGTGAGGATAAGAGACTTCTTTCAAAAACATTTATAAAATCTTACCGAACCTAAACTTTTGAACGGTAGTGTACAAAGATTAGTTTCATTAAAAAAATCTGTCAGCTAGGCCAGCCTTACCTTTTACCTTTTTGGAAATCAACCTACAAATGGCTTCCTTTATAGCCTTTTCTTTTATTATGTTATGATATTGATGAAAGTACAAAATGACACACTTTTCAATTCAAAAGGCTCATAAATAGGTTTGCCGATTATCTGCGATCTTTAATTGATAATGATTTATTGTGTCTGTTCCGCTGTTAATCTCAGTGGTAGGCTGTTTAAGTCCACTTGGGAAGGTCAGATCTCATGATCAGTCCTTTAATGATTTCGCCATGAGATTTTAGTAGCAATCACTCTATCCACACAATGATGTTTCTGATTTGCTGATCTGTTTGTGTGCTGACTAGGAATTCACGTCGAGCCGAACTGTAAGTGTTCTAGTGTCTTTCTGTGTTCATTCAACATTTTGGACCAGGATCATGACTGCACTCCAGCGGTTCCTCTTAAGCTTGATTCATCCAAATAAAGAGACAGGGATTTAGATTAGATGGACTCGACAGCATACTGCCTCCCTCTATAACAAGATTGCCTCCGCTTGTATTGAGACGGTGCAGTGAGGATTAGAGAACTGGATCAAGAGAGGGACTCATTCACCCGCAGCTTATAAATAAAGCGATGGGATTTCATACAGGCAGCCAGTGCTGAAGTCACTCTCTCACTCTCTAACCTTACCCATCCTGCATCTCTGATTAATGTGTGAAAAACCTTTCAATCCCCACACACGGCTGTAATCCTTTCTACTTCCGCTCGGAAAAGCTGGGATGTTGCTGCGTGTGTGTCATCTGTGCAGCTCAGGAAACACACTTCCTAAAATGCCCGAAGCCTTCCCTTACAATTTCCAGAGGAAATGTGTAGATGGTTGGGAATCGTGCTGCTTTTCCCCATCTTTCAGCTCATTTTGCTTGATAACGGTCTAACACATCACGGCTTAACCCCCCCGTTCCTCATTTCTCACTCATTACGCTGAAGTTACTCCATGTTCATCATGTTTACTCTCTCTGTTTTGCATTTTCACAGCCTCCAGAGAAGTACCTCCTCCCTGAGGTTAACATAAATGACTATGGGAAGAAGTGTGTGGTAATAGACTTGGATGAGACTCTGGTGCACAGCTCATTTAAGGTAATTCATAAATGATTGCCTGTTGAAACTAGTTCAGATCTTTTTCAGCTATTTCCCAAACAAAAACAACCAGGGATGGACTACAGATGCAATGTAACTGTGACTTCTATCTGTAATTTGCTTGGTGACACTGACCCACTGTGACCTATTTTGTGTGAGGGATGTATGTGCATGCGGGCAGAGCTTCCTGTGATGCTTAGTGACTGCCCGGTCAGGGCTCATTTGTCTCTGCTGATAGTAGGAGGAGCGTTGAAGAGCAACACTAATTGTGAAACTCAGTATTGAACTTTTCAGCATTTTGATCTGTGAATGAAACTCAGACATTTAGTGTGGGGCAGGGTTATGTAGTTAAATAAAACTGAAACTAAAATTAAAACCATTAAAATATTTTGTTAATTGAAATAAAATTGAATAAACAAACTTTCATTTCATTTCAGCTTGTTGCCAAGGGAGAATTTCTAATTTTAATGAACTTCATACCTAAAATTTAAACAGAAATAACATTTAAGAAAAACTAAATAGACATAAAAACAAAAACTATTAAAAATGACAAACACACAACAAAATTACTAAAGCATTAACTAAAATTAAAATGAAAACAAACTATAAAAGTAAAAACTGAATCAAAATATCAATAAAACTATAATAGTATCTGAGTGATACTAAAATAACACTGGTATGGGGTAGTTTGTTTATAAATGAGTTTCAACCCTTTAGCCTATTGTATCATATTTAATACACAAAATATTAAGGCCTCTAAATTATCAACATGATCAGAACTTTACTGAAAAAACAGTTTGAAAAAATCTTTGGTCATCTGATTGAAATAGTTCTTTTTTTTTTTGTAGCATGTAAAAGGCATTTAAGTATCATTCTAAAAATATCCCACCTCAGGTCATGTTAAGCGTGTCTTTTTGCTTTTAAATCTTTTATGATTTTTATAAAGTAAACTATAACTTTTTTTATTGTTGGTAATATTTCAAGATGAACACTTAAGTGAACTGAAACAACTTATGTTTACCTAATTGTCCGTATATTTTTGTTTTGTTAAAATGTGAGTAACTGTAATATATTTTGGGCCTCCAAATAAACAGAAAGTCCATGAGTCATAGTATGAGCCATAAAAGCCTGATATACCAAATATGATACTGGAAAATTTATTTTATTTATTTTTTTTGTCTTGAAGCTCAAACTGTTCAATTAAAAAAAATAAAAAAGAAGATTTTTCTGACTATTTCACATGTCAGGATTTGTTGGCTACATTTGCCTTGAAGTCCATTGATTTCAGTCATGCTAAGGACAAATGTTTGAAGTGTGCAGTTCTCAAACGTCCCTCACACTGGATTATTAATATTTGATTAGGCAGGTTTGTGTTGAAAGAGCACGGACGCCCTCTGCTGTTTATCACTGCACTTTCATTTAGCTAATTCAAAATATAACTAAATAGAGCTTATCACGCATCAATAATCTCTGATTGCAGTCAACATGTTTATCAGCTGTTGTTAGTTTGTGTAATATTTTGATAGTAGAAGTGACTAAAAAGCTCACTGGAGGATTTATTTTAATTAGAAGACAGACAAAGCATGAGAGAAGCTATGATTCACAGAAAATGCATGTTAGCAACTGTCATGTATAAGTTGTTTGGAATAATGTTTAATAGTTACTGTCATTAAAACATGAGTATGCAAGAAGATAAGTGTTTAGTCTTCAATTTAATACATACTTTATTGAAAGGATATTTCAGAAAGCATGTGAAAGTTTGGGTGGGTTTAGTTGGGTCGTTTCCTTTACATTTGTCTCCCATCTGAAGCTGTGTCATAACTCGTCTGTGTTGCATTTGTTTCTTTCTCACAGCCCATTAGCAACGCTGATTTCATCGTCCCAGTGGAGATCGACGGCACAGTGCATCAGGTACAGTACTGATGGAAACATGCACAGGTTTCATATTACACTGACATCAGATTGCTGAAGATGTGTATGTTTGAGCAATTATAAATGCTCTAGTGTATTCTGTAGCAGTTATGAAGCCATTGATGGGTTTTATGTCAGTATCAGCTTCATTAGATGGAGTGCTGAACATGGCTGATTGGCTGTTCCCTTGTTCAAGTAATCCAGGATAGGCTGTCTGTCCTGGGAGGCCTATTCATGATTACTTGCACTAGGTGGCAGCCGTTTGTCTTCATGGAGCTGAAGCAGATCATCTGTGCTTGATTTGTGCCTGCTTAATGTTTTGACATTCAGATTGAAGAACAGCATGACTTGTATTATTATATTATATTTTATAGTGTATTATTTTATAAAGATCTACTATTATTGTAATGTTTTATTTTATGGAGATTTATAAAGATGATAAAGATTGTTCATTATTTAAATTAAATGGATGTGTATCACAATATTATATATTTTTGTAAATTGTATTCCTATATGTATTATGAAAATACTTTATATACATTTTCATATATCTTAGAATGTATTGTTTAAAAAAAAAGGTTTTACTATTGTCATATGTATTATACATTTTCATATTTTATAGTGTATGGTTTTTTTTAAAGATTTTACTATTATGTTTTATACTATAAAGATTTATAAGAAGTATATTTAATAAGTCCTTACCAATTTAATTGCAAATTTATTTGAATTAAATTACATAAATGGCTCAGTGTTTCACCATATTTTTTATATTATTTTGTTTTGTTAATTTGACTTACATTTTTTAGTATTGTATATTTTTATAAATTTTTATTATATGTATTATGAACATTTACTATCAGTTAAAATGGACTTAAATGGCTCTGTCATCACGTTATTGTATTATATATTATATTTTATATAATACTTTTTAAATAACTTTTTATATTATTATTATATGCATTATGAGCACTTTATCATTTAAACTGACTCAAATGGCTCTGTGTACCACAATATCTCCCCTCGTAGGTGTATGTGCTCAAAAGACCTCACGTTGATGAGTTCCTGCAGAAAATGGGCGAGCTGTTTGAATGTGTGCTTTTCACAGCCAGTCTAGCCAAGGTTTGTCCACCACACTATGACACTGACTCATTAAATGCTGACAAACATGTCAAAAGACTCAGCGTCTCGTAACTCAGTGCACAAAACCTCACTGGCTGAAACAGTCTAAATGTTAATTAAGGGAGAAAATACTGTGATACACCCCTGCTGGGTGATTCAAGGCCTGTTGGGTGGGTGTTGACTCATACCTGCTCTGCTAATATCTGACCCCCCCCCCCCCCCCCGTCCCTCGG